ATCTTTTCTTTTTCATTATTTGAGGGTCCTTGGCATCAACTTTTCATAATCCCAGATCTATATTCCAAATCTTTTGAAACCACATGATAGCTGTTGTTTGGAACAGATAAAAATGTAAAGGTTTATTGACTAAAAATCAAAAGATCCCTTCACTGTAGCGCTCTTACATTTGTGTATGCGAGTATATTTGTTCATCAAATGTAGGTTTGACATAAATTATGACATTGGTTCTCACATGTCTTTTAGCCAATCACACAACACACGAAATATGAATATGTCTGATTTACTTTTGGTGGAAGTAAAGTGAAGATTTTCACTGAACAGTTTAATCTATTTCTCAAACAAAGCTATTATATGACTTTAAGAGATTTGTAATACAGTGCACAAGTCATATACTACTTCTATGCTGCGGCTGTGTCTTTTTTTGACACTTGGTTACTATATGCTTCGGCTGTATGTTTACAAAGCAGAGTGAATGTCCTGCATGACATCTCCTATTGTTTTCCACACAAGAAAGAAACTCACACCGTTTCTCTCTGTGTGAGTAAATAACATCATTTTCAGTTTTTGTGAACTATTAGGTGCTAATAGCCTACAAGAAATACATGCACATCATTGTCACATTTTTTCCCCAGCACATTGGATTCGTGCGCCGTAATTGAGCTCTCAAAATGTTTGGAACGGTCTTTAAAATACTGCAGCAAATGTGGCACTGTAAGCATTTCTGTCTAAAGTATAGAGTTATCCGTCATAGCGCGTGTAGGATTGACTAAGGCACATAAACAACAGGGTCCAGATGCATTTAACTTTGCTTACATAATTGGCGGACTAATGCAAAAAGCTTTTAGACATTATGTGTGACCCAGTGTGATACTTTTATAAACGCAATCAAACATTTTCTCCAAACATGCAGTGTACTTTGAAAAACGCAGACCTTTGTGTGACATGTCATTTCATTTCGCCCACTTTAGCTCTAATTTTCCCTCTAATATACACCTATTGTGGCATGTGTGCGTTTATTTATTTATTTTTTTATAAAACCCCAAATCAGACACCCAGAATGCACTTTTATTCACTTCCTGATGCTCCGCACATCCTCGATGGAAAAGCATGATTAATATTCTACTTTCAACAACACTATTCAAGTGCAAGGATTTCCTTCCTATCCACTGATTCATCAAGACTGTTGTAACAAACTTGATCCCTTTTAAAACTTATTTATGTGTCGTGTTCTTTTCTTTCGCCCAGCTGTCTCGGCGAATTACGAGAGATCAGCGACGTCTTGACCGGAATCAGATTGCACAGTCTTTGGATCTCCAAGACTAAATAAGACGCTTGTAGCGACAACTCCTCACTTGTGTCGCGGGAGATTACGGAAGAAAGAAACATGTCATTTTATGTCGCAAGTGCGTCCAATCTGTCCTCTCTCACACATATAGAAGTGACAAACCTCCCGAAAGCAGTTGCGGAATTAGACTTTCAAATGAAATCTACAAGAAGATCAACCGCCAAACCTTTTGTAATGACTTGCCCTTCTGTCTCTGTTCCTCAAAATTCACGCTCAGCTGATGAAAAACTCGCCGGACATTGTGCTTGCGCCTTATCCTCTGGAGAAAAGAACAAAACAGATATGAGCTTTCGCCGAACCCAGGGAAAAGGGGGTTTGAAGGGGTCTTGGCAAGGACACGCACGCTACACACGCACACATGCGGAGACACATCAGATGGCAGCATCTTGTGGGCCCCTCGTGCGTTTTCACTCATTTTGAGCACTTGGCTATGGGCGTCCCCCCCTCAAACCCTCTCCTCGCCCTCCAGAAGTGTGGTGCTCTTTGTCATTGTAATCCGGCCTGTGTTTGTTAAAGGCTCACTCGCTGTTTGCTCTCGCTGATGGGTGTACGTTTGCGCTTGTGTGTGTTTGCAAAAGTCAGCCGGCTCAAGGAGTGCCGTGACATCATTGCCGCCAGGGTTTTTTTTGTCACACCCTGTAAACGCCATGTCCTCCAGACGGGCCCCCCTCACCCAACCTTTCCCAAAAGTGCCAGTCTACAGGGAGGAATTACACCTCATCACTCCCGTAATTACTAGTCCTGCTTCTTTGAGTCACCAAACAACATCAAACCCACAGACGGGGTCATTCTACAAAACGGCTGCCATTTGTGTGTCTCATGTACATGATTTAGCAGATAGCTAACTAAAGCTTTACTATGTGTTAATATAGACGTTTTCATAAACATATACATGTAGCAAAAATCCAGTAACTTTTTTTTTATTGTTTTTTTTTTTTTTTTTTATGTAGATTTTTTCTTTTTTCTTTTTTGGTCAGATGTGGCCTGCCCCCACATCCTTAATACTGTATATAAAATGGTTCACATTTTGGTGAATACAGTTTATTTTTAGATTTTAGTTAATTATTTAAAAGATTTTCGTCCATTTTTGAAGTGATGAACTCCTCCGGAAATTAAAAAAAAACAAACAAACAAAAAAAAAACGTTGTCACAATGATGTCATTACACCTATTTAATCATTTTAGCATTAGTTGTTATATATATGTATATTTTATTATATTTGTCAGAAGGGGATGATTTATTTTATAGGGTTATGGTAATCATTGAAAAGTTTGTAGAAATACCACATTTAAATTAAACTGCAAAACTGTTAACCACTTTATATCTGTAAAGACATAATTACATACATTTTTAAATAACACAATTATTATGAAAAAGTGTATTTATTTATTTACATTCCAAACTAAAAAAGTGCAGCCATTTCTTATAATCTTTATCAACTGATATTATAATCTCATCCATGCTAATATTTTTAATAAGAAAAAAATTATAATAATAAAAGTGATGTCGTTTTAATAATATTTTTGAAATATTTTTTGTTAATTCCAAACTGGAAAAGTGCACCCATTTCATAAATCACCCATCCAATGTCCCTAATATTTATATTTTTAATTCATAATTATTATCATTCATTCTATTCATACTATTTTTTATTATTATTATTTCATAGAAATATCCATCCTTGCAATAATTTGCATGACATGACAATATATGAAATTGTACAATTTGGGTTGTACTAAACGTACTTTTATAGTTTCTTTTTTCTTTTTTCTTCAGTTAGTACAATCATGATTTTGAAGTTTAGGGAATGAATGAGGCGTCAGGCTCTGTGGTTAAGCTTAGCTCATACCTTTTTGCAAAACTTGCATGGTTTCTTACGAATTTGGCATCTGTTGCAAATAATTTTCATCGTGTTGGAAATATCAGCTTTAGATTTTAGCTATAAGAAGCACCTTGTTGCAAAAAGCATGTAAAATCAAATTAAACTGTAAAGCTGTTAAGCATGTTATTGTCAAACTCTGTGAGCGCATAATTATGTCAAAATTTATATTACATTTTTATCTCAAGATGGCAATTTATTAACACTAAAATACATTTATCTGATTGAATTTTTAAAAAAATTGATGGAATAAACCATCTCATCAAACAGCATCCGTTTCATAGAATGGCCCATCAGCACTCGTGCAATACATAATAGCAGAAAACCGGTTAAGACTCATTTCAAAAAGGGCACGGAGTGCAAATAAGAAAAAAATATTCACCAGGCCGACCTCTCATTACATATACTTCTGCTTGTTGTTTCCGTAGCAATAAAGTGGCAGACATTGGAACTGGTCTGTTGAGCCATTGTTATCATCTCTGACCATCTGCTACCGAAGGCTGACATTCCATCTCATTTGCATGGTAACTGATATGGGGGGAGGAGAGATTGTGGGTGGAGTGGGATGGG